GAGTGCGAATTGTGGAACAATGTACAGAACCTCACTTACTATTTTGCAATAATGTTAACACGATTCTTTTGTCCAAAATACCCTTCAAATGTACTTTTCCTTTTTAGGCGTTGCACACAATCATAAGAGAGAGAGGAACTGGAACATCTTTAAAAAGAAAAAAAATGTTGCAAAAAATGTTATTGGATTACAGGAACCTACAAGCGAGAAGAGCTAACAAAGTCTCCGTTTCTGTTTCCATGGTGTTTGGCAACGTGGCTGATTTTTGGAAATTCCGTTTCGCTTAAGTAGATGGCAAATAAATGTTATTCACGTCAGCTAGATAATTGGGTAAAAATATTCTACACATTCGGAAGACGCTTGTACGACGCATTCATTATGCATGCCATGTTTATTCGCCAAAGAAATGGATTCTAGGATAGCTTTGTCGCTTGGAGGTTCGGTATGATGTAAATCGTCGTCATTTATTCAGTCGTTCATTTATTCATTCATTCATTCACTCGTTAACTCATTCATCCATTTCTTCAATCATTCTTTTATTCTGTTTGTACATTTATTTATTATTTACAGACTTTCTTATTCATTCGATCATCCGTTCATTCGTGGATATGTCAAGGGCGTCCGTACCAATTTGTACAACAATAATCTTCTCCTTATTTTCCATACCAATATGGTGACTGATCCACATAACCCCATACGCCATTGTAGTATGGTCCTAAAAAGAGAACACATCTAGGCGGAAACCATGTAAGGAAAAACTTTTGATTTCGTCGTCGATTAATGCAGTGACCGTAACTACAGAAGAAAGTTCGGAGTAGGTGAACAACACAGAACAACGCTGTTTGGAAATTATTGAGTAAATAGTGCGGAAACAATAGTAGAAGAAAATGAGTAGATGGACAAGGATATCTAGAAAAAAATGTTAATACTCTGAAAATAAATATTAGGCTGAGTAACGTTAAATTGTAGATTTTCACTCTAATTTACAATGAACTGAGGAAC